AATCACGGTGCTAACCAAAGTCACCTACACAACTCCTTGCTCACTGGAATTTACAAGACAGGCATGGCTCTTGTCACCTTACAGGATCAGTCCTGCGTGAAAAAACTAACATATTATATACCTATAATGAGAAAAAACCCTTGACTTTGAGCTCTCTTTTATTCCGCTATTCCTTGTCAGAAGATTCCTCTTTCATTTAACAGCTATATAGAAATTGGAGACACGTATCCCTCGTTTTCCATTAGACTATTTTAAGAAATTGGAATAATCACTTTCTTCTTACCAGAATTTATGCCTCTTAGCGTTCCACAAAAATGTCCAATTCGTTATGGAAAAACTCTGTTTACAGGAAAGAGTCTGCACAGTAATTCTGGCTCTGTCCACATTCTCATCAAAGAGGAAAAGGAAGTATTTTTTTTTCAAAACATTACAGTAAAGCATTGTATAAATGTTACTGCAGTAAGAAGGACTTAGGGGAATTTTGCCCAAGTAGGACTATGGGATATGGAAGAGAGACAGAACCAGAAATTAGGGCATAGCAAAACGATGGCAGATGAAGAGGAGATCAGAGCAAATCAAAGGAAAAGAGGCCTTGGCTCACTCTGCCAAATTAATTCCAGTAAACAGAATGCAATAGCTGAGACTGTTCCTATCTATATGTATATATACACTTATGTATGTATATATGTTCCTGAATGATATACAGTATCTATATAAGTGTATATATAGATACACTTATGTACAAATGCGTATTTACATATATAAAATCAAACCTGTCTGTTTTCCCAGCTATAATTAACACCATAATACTACAAATTGTAAATTATAGAGCTCTTGCAAGTCTTTTTCAGATGAAAAATCTTTCAAGCCATTTTTAAATATATAGGACCAGATCCTCCCCTTTACACCAAGGCTGTTTAGTGAGGTATGCAAGAAAGCTTGATCTCAAACATGCAGACTTCAAGGCAAGAACCCATCCAGCTTTCCCAAGACAGGATGTGGCTGGCGGCTATAGTGAATGCCCCGTGTCACTCCTCAGGGGTTTACCTCCTGAATAATCGTATGTTAAGACCTCATATTGCTCCTGTCTTCGAGCAGTGAAATTTTCTAGGCTTACCCATCCTGCTTAAGTACTAGATAGGTGCTTAGCATCATACAGCTCGACAGTGTTGCTCTACTGCAGCACACCTTCTATTACTTTTAACAGGGTTTTACTTCAGTAGCAATTGGCATTTGTAATTAATGATGAGGTTTATTCACATCGATTTTTGAGGTTGCAACTTGGATTCGTTATACCATGCCGTATTGCAGCAAGAAGTCTGTATGAAATTTTTCAGTCTTTTCAAGTTTTATTTTAGTTTAAAGGCTTCACGCCTCGATTTCTCTAAAAAACGCTCCAAAGTGCTGGCCACAACACAGGAAACACCATGAAGAGGAAATGCGTGTGCAGCATCTTGCATCTGCTACATGTCATTGCTCCACTGTACTGCTCTCCAAAGACACGGAGGCTTGAAGAGGACAAAGCAACAGCTCCTTCAGTAACAGTTACCCAGCTAAAATCCCTGTCCAAGCTGCTGCGTATGATGCAGAATAACCGTCACTGTTTTGTATAACAGAGAAAGGTCTTCCCTGTCCCTGAAAATTTGTTGCGGATAACCCTCCATAAACCATTCATTCACACTCTGCGCAAGGGCCACACACGTGTATGTTGGTGGTTTTATGCGTTGCATATTCAAATATTGAAGCTTACACAGTTCTTGATGATTATACAGGCCCTCTAGAAGTATTAAGCTAATATTTATGTATGAGTTGATCAGCTGACCATTACCTAACTACACTAACCAACTGCTACATTATACTACAGTAAGCAATTCTGTAAACTTCTGGGGGGAGGGTATCAAGCAATAAAAACTCCAGAAGAGTGGGTGGTTCAAGATTATTCACAAGTACTCCATTCATATCTGTTATGATTTTTCTCACTAGATCCTGTTGAATGCACAGCAAAAAGCAGCTGGGGATATAGAGTCCTTCTACCTTTTTCTGCACCGAAAGAAGCCTGGGTCATCAATCGCAATTGGTATCTCCTCCGTTTTGGCATAGTTTACTATTTTCACATTGGCAAGTAGTTCAAGTACAAGTGAATTTCTACAGCATTGATTTATTTTACATAGCAATGTGTAACAATGGACAAGTCTGTACTTCGAAGACGGCATAAAAATCCTTAGGTGTTATATTCTTTCTCACCTGGAAAGCAATTACCTGTTTCTGGATCCTGCTACACTGGAGAGAAAAGATAAACACCTCAACTTCAGCATTTCAGGCAAAGATGCATAAAGTTGGTACCTATTAAAACTGACCATGTTAACGTAGGAATAAGCTGGCAAGACCATAATAAATGCTTTTCAGAAATAAGGGAGAGGGGAGGGAAAATAATCCCAGGCTGCCACACCACCTTAACAAATAATTCCAGCAGTGCCCAGAAGATCACAATGGGATCAAACTCTCTTTATGGTAAACCGTAAGAAAACACGAGGAAAACAGGAAGGAAAAGATGGCATTTGTTGTTGTCACATTCATCTGTTAAGTATTCATTCATATAGGAATGCTCCTGTATGACGAGCATTCCTAAAAATTAAGAACTCACATTATGAAAGAAAAATGAGTAACCACAAGCCCTGTTTGTAATCAAAAATAAAAATACCTTTGAGTCTCTGCTTTTTGTTCCATACGCAAACGCACACACAAAAATTATAACCAAAAAAGGCAAGTTCCAAGACAAAACATTGGCTGGTTGAGAAATCAGCAGTCCTTCAATCTTGTACCAAGATACAAAGGCTATTAGAATTTGTGCATTCCAGAAATTTTGGGGGGAAAAGAGAAGATGTAACGCCAAAAGTATTCAGCAACTAACCGAAAGGGAACCGTATTATTTGTGGTCCATAAATTACAAATGAAAAATAAGAAAGAATGAATTTATATAAGCATGTACATATATGTATGTATAGAAATATTTATATTATATAATTTACCATGAGGACATGCAATTATTGGTATAGCGCCTATTATACAATATAATACAAAGGAATAGGACTTTCCAATGGTGCAATTTCGTCAGAAAAAAGCAGGTATAACCTACCTATTGCATTCATCTGTAGTGCTTGAAACCTGAATGAAATTAAGGTTCCACACTGTGCTACATTACGAATGGGAAACAATATACATATTCATAGTAATAAAAGAAAAACAAAATCAACATAGTCTGACAAAGCAAGTGAAAGTCAGTGCAGCTTCAGGGCAGCTTTAATGCAGCATTAGAATGTATTAGCTCAGAGACAAAATATTCCCTTTTTAATCCAAAGGTATTCATTTGGCAGAGGTTAAATAAAAAAGCACAGATGCTGGCTGGAGAGGCAAATGACTACAGCAAGCAGATCAGTAACGGACTGTTCTCCTATGGTCTACGCATCCAGCGTCCCCACAACAGGAACAATCAGGGAGAGCTGCCTGCATCTTTTTCTCAGGCTTGCATTCTTGTGTGTTACCATTCTAACCCACTATTCTCTTCTAAGTATAGCAAAAGGTGCTGTACCGTTGTGTTCCCTACAGAGCTCCTGCAGAGCACAAGAAATGACTGAACTACCAAACAAGGCTGGAGGACTTAGACACCATGGACTTTACTGACAGACAACAAAGCTTGGCTATCAAAAAACCAAAAAACTGGGCAAAAGAATGACGAGAATCCAACATAAAAAAAACCATCTTTGATTGTTTCTGTATATTTTGCTTTAGTGACTAATATTCTTAGCCAGATTTTGTAAGGGTGTTAAGTGTATTTGTCACCTGTAACCTACCAAGCTCATGAAGCAAACAATCTCCTCATCTTTGTTCCATCTTCCATGTTTTTTATAGAACAAAACAAGCCAATCTTGGCTGGTAACCATCTCTGCACAGTAAGATCAGTAGTTTAAGTGATCCATAACTAACGATAAAACAAAAGCCAGCAATAACAAGGGTTCTTTTTGCAGTTAAGGGAAAAGAGGTACTTATGTTTTCTAACATGCTTTCTAAGTTACATTGCAAATGTTTGTAAATCTGCAACATGCAGTGAAGTGCAGACATCTCCTCCTTCCCCTCATTTCCTAGACAGGAATTCTTTTCCAAATTCTACTGAACGTGGTTTAAAGAACCCATTATGTCTCCCAAAGAAGTGTAGGATTTAGAACTGAGAATTAGCTTCTTGGCTCCTGATTAGTACTAACCAAATTTCTAAATAATACAGCTATGAAGGACAACTTGGCAAATGTTAATATGAATTTTTTTAATGCCATCAGTGTCAAGAAGGGGCAAGGTATATGATACTTCTTTAGGTAAAAAAACCTGTGCCATGGTAGATAGGGGACAAGATGAGCACTGAGTGACTCAGAGATGTGTGCAGCTCTGAAGAGACCTATGGAAAGAAATGGAAGAGACCTATCATGTAGAAATACCATCGTCTTCTGAACTGTGTGCTTTTCTAAAATTGCAGACATGCTTGAGCAGTACTGGCCTCCCAAGTGGTTACATCATTTTGGGAATAACCATTTCAGGTTTTCTTACATACTCCTTGAGTCTGTAAGGCCTGAAGTAATTAGGCCAAATCTTCTAGCTAGGTAAACTAAAACCATAGAAATAAATACTCTTGTAAAACACTCACCTTCAAGATATTTTTTTACTTTAAATAAATTGCACCTCTTTGACTACCTAGTCATTCTTATCCTGGCCTTTACTTATCCTCTCACGGATCTGCTTGCTGCCCACTCTTAGGCAATTCCTGGCCACTTATTTACACAGTATGCTTTCTCATGAAGAGTTTATGATGCTTACTTTCTTTAAAAAGCGCAGATTCAACACCATTGTTTTTAATAGACTTTTTTCAATTATTTTTTTTTTTAATACACAGTACACAGACAAAACATGCATCAGATTTAGGAGGAGGCTTTATACCTGTCAAGGCCCAGTTCTTATCTGCTAAGCTTAGTGGCTGATTTGCTCTTTCCTGTGGGAGTCTTAGTGTTTGGGGAATGGTGGAAGGAACTGCCAGATCCTTTCAGTCCATTCTTGCTTGGTTTGTTGCAGCAGTGCTCTTGTTGGCAGGATCTCCTAGAAGATGAGGAGCCTGAATGGCTAGGAGGTGATTTACTCCTCCCAAGATGTGGGGATGAACTCCTCTGATCGTGATGGGGTCTCCCAGCCCGGGACGGAGAAGAACTGGCAGTACGGGGTAAAGAAGAGCTCCTAGGGGAGGCACTGGGACTGCGTCGGGGGATGACAGGGCTTTTGGGTGGTGTTTTTGGACTATGTGGAGATCCCGGACTCTTACACTGGGTAGAGCTCCTTGGTCTTTGAGATCCATTCTGCAGGATTTGAGCCAGACGAGAGATAAGATCTGAGTCCGAGCTGCTGCTCCCTAGGACTCTGTATCTCCGTAACCTTAAGAAGAAATTAAGAAAGATTATTTCTGTTCCTATCTATTCACTAAAGTTCATAGAGAAACGCAGTATCACTAGAAGCTAGGGATGAGTTTACATTGCAGAACAGACATCTGGAGCTGAACTCTCCTGTAAGGTAGAGTTGTTTGGATCTAGGCTTTGGATTCTATGTTGTTCAAATCAACACAGTATTTATATATGCATAAGCTCACTCACTTGAACAGCCTGGGTTTTGACAGGATTACTGAAATTTCACGATGGTGCTGGAAGAAGTGCACTGAGGAGCAGTGCTTATTGCCTCTGTTTCAGAGGGGTACATCAATTCCTGCACACTATCAATACACTCCTATAAAAACATTAAGGGATGACAAAGCACACCACAACTTCTTTCAGAGGATTTCACATTACTGTATAACAGTTCTCCTTATTCTGGTAAAGTAGGCACTGAAAAAACTAGATTGTGGTTGTCTGTACATAAAATTGACAAAGGGGGGCTTCTAGGATTCTCTCTGCCCTCCTTTAATGAGTTTTTACTTAGCCATGACCTGAGCACAGATAACTGACTCAGTACTGATAGCTGGAATCTCCAAACCCAAACATTTTAAATGTCTACAATAAGAACAGTTTAGTTTTCAGAAGGACTGGATATGATAGATTCTATGATAGAGTCTTAGATTTCTTTAAGTTTGTGAATAATCAACCATTCCAGAAAAGCAACCCCATTTTAAAAAGAAAAAAAAGTAAAGGTTTAGTTATAGATAGGTTTCAAAATACTGAATACACATCTATTGATGTATATGGTTTAACAGTAAAGCAGGCTCGTTCTTGTGTAACGGCCTCTCCTCATTCATTTTCCAACAATTAAGGTTTCTCAGAGAACTGAAGCCCAGCATTTTAAAAAAATTAAAGGATGGAACCTCTACAGGATTACATACTGCATAGTTACTACAGTCCAGCTCAAATCCATTTTCAACCTGAAAAACTCTGTTTTCTCTGCATTACCTAGCTTCTACTCCAGGTCTAGCAGGCGGTTTTCCTGGTGGTGGCCGAGGAAGGAACTGAGCTGAACTTGAACTGGTGACTTGATCAGTGGTTGCCCAGGACACTGGCCTTGGAATCTTGCTTTTTCTGGACTGAGGGCTGCTTGGAGATAAAGAGCTATCTTCTGTCTGCTTGCTGAAATGAGAGTCCAGTGTCAATCTAGAAAATGAGGATAAGACATCATCCTCAGAAAACGGTACTGGAGCAGCAGCCATTTTTTCCTCCAGTGACTTATCAGAGGCACTTGAGAGGTCACCAAGGAAAGATTTGAGCTGTCTCTTTTCCATAAGTAGTCTCACCAAGTCTGTCTGATGAGCCTTTTTTAGAAGAAGCTTTTCCTTTGCTGAAACAGGAGAAGAGGAGTCTGACGTTAAGTCTATCTCTTGTGCTAGAACTGGGATCCGGCTCTGCCTGAATACAAAAGGAGATTTACCCAAGTCCTTCTTAGACCGATGAGAATTCTCATTTTCTGAAATGCAGTGGAGTAACTCTCCATTTCTGGGAGCATGTTTCTCTTTTTTGTCCTCCTGGTGCAAAAAAGCAGTAAGGGCCACTTGGTGGCATTTCAAGTCTTGAATATGGACTTCTTCCTTATTAGAATGAAAACCATTTTCCTGAACTGGTGCTATTTTGCTTGCCTGTCTATTAATATGTGGTTTGGTAGGTCTTGAGGGAGAAAATTCTGATGTTTTAGGTGCTACCGACTTCAGAACCTCATCTTGATTTGGCACCAAACAGACAGGCCTTGGCTTTGATTCCTCAGCAGCTTCAGTATTCGTTAGAGGCTCTTCCTCTGCAGATTTTGAGTTTCCTGGCAAAGAATTCTGTTCCTTGCTTAGCATTTCAATGGCATCCTCAGAAACCACTGGAAGCCTTTCCTCCTCACCCTCCTCTACCGGCATATTTTCAAGTTCTTTCTCTTCCTGAGTCCCACTGTGTTGTTCAGGTAGGCCCTTCTGGCCACAGTCTAGGATGTTGACACACTCTTTGACAAGTCCTTCCCTGTCAAGCACCTCTTGGCTGATACTAAGTACCAAATCTGGCCTGCTGGCACGAGCTGGAAGTGCATCTTCTGTCACAACCAACCCTGGCAGATTTTCCTTTGGAGAGGAAAGTTCTGCGGTGTGTTCCACAGACTGAGCATCCTGCTCTCTTTTCTCCAGCTGGTGGCCATAATGAAAGCTCTCCGAAGCAGATTGTGTGGATGCCACTGAAGGTCTGGGTATTGTCATCTGTGTGGAAAAATCAGAGGAGGAAAAGTGAGAAACTCAGGAATGTTATACAGATAGCATTCTTTAAATAGCGCTTTTGCTTCCGTGTCTTCAAGATACTTTATGTAATGATTCCTATGAATCACAATGTTCAAATAACACCAAACTTCATAATTTACATCTAGATAATTTCTAAAAAATACTCTATCATCCCAAGACAGAGAAGTGTAATTAGTAAAAAACCTCAGCAGAAATTGTTGCAGTTACCAAGTAACCCACTTGGAAATGAGATCCAGCCGAACAGGTAGCCTTCTTACTTTAAATTAGTCTGGATATTCTTAGAGTAAGTTGCACATAAACGTAAAGTCTTTAACAAGTACACAACTATATTTTTTAGACAGAAGGCAAAACTGCATCCCTGCCTCTTCCACCTGAGAGACACAATCCCACTTCCCTCAGTTTCCACAAAGTATGGACAAAACCAGAACAGAGTTGCACCTCAGTTTCCCCATTGAAGTCAGGCCACTGCAGGCAGAAACACAAGTCATGAGGTCAGAGGGTGAGAGAGCACACACAAAAGTGACAGGAGTTTTACCTCTGTGGCCAAGGGAGGAACGCACTCTCGTGTGAAGAGGAGTCCTAGATTCTGGTTTATGCACATTAGATTGAGTTGTTTGGTGTAAACACTAAGACATCAAGGGGCTACCCTTACATCTTTCTGTACATAGAACGTTCAGCTCCTTTTTTCCTCATATTCTTTAGCCTCTGACACAGTTTGACTATGTAATACTCAACAGAAAGTGGAAGACTGCAATCTGGATTTAAACATAGAGACTCTCGATGCACTGATGGTAGAAGAGACAACCAGTGGTAGCCTATTTTCAGCATTGCCAGGATTCTGCTGCATTACAATGCAGATTTCACTTGACCTTGTCGCAGAAATCACACACGCTGCTGAGCTTAATGGGCTTTTGCAAGAACTAGTACATGGTTACTATTGAGTGGAAGAAACCAAACTCATCTGTCAGGACCTGTAACAATTTACACTGTCCACTCAAACTTTACAAGTACAGAACAAGCCTGCAAAATAAAAAATGGGAACTGACAGTGAAGGAGATATACTCCGATTTCCCACGAGAGTATAAGAGCTTCATGGAAACTCTTGCTGACTTCTTCTGGTTTTTTGTATTTTCTTCATAGTCCTGTATAACAAGATTTCCATCATTATGGGTGCACGTTTACCTCCATGAAACACAAACACTCAACTGATATTATAAAGAGTTCACTAGAATTAAAGAGAAAACAATTCTTTATGTTAAAGAAATTCTTTCTATACCATAAAATGTATTCTGAACCTCTCTAATTTACCTAGCGTAGTATTTCTCTTACTTTAGAAAGAATTTTTACTACTCTTGAATGATCTTTTTGAAGCTAAGCTCTATGTTAAAATCTGTTCCTACAGAGAGGATTCATGCACTTTTCAGAAACAATAAAAACACAAACTAATACTTCCTCGGGAAAACCCTGAACTCCCATTTTCAAAGCCACATTATATCTTGTTATTCAGGACCACTACTTTCTTTTTTAATCACTGTATCTTTGAAAAATCCGTTTGAAATGCTCTATTCTAACCCCAAGTTCAATCCAAGTAAACAGTCTTTCTTTGTCATGAAAAAAAGGCATCCACAGAGACTCTCAATCACATTAAAACCACTTTTTATGCATATTGGGGTCTGACTACTACTGTCTAGATTAATTCTGACTATTCCTCTCCAATGAATCAGTTCAGTAAAGGGTCATGATGAAGTATCCAGGGAATTCATACATAAGATCTGCCCTAATATTCATGTACAGATTTCAAATAATCCAGTTTTTTCTGTCTGTGTCTGATTCCTATGAGCCACTGCCTACATTCCAGGTTACTGCTGTGCTATATTTACGCTTCAGTTTTGCTATTTTTGATTAATTGTACCTTAATTATACATACAATTTCAGCTATATTTTTTATTTTTCTGTAAAGGTAAAACAATCGTTCACATTCAAAACAGCAATGCTCTAAAAAAAACCCCAACAAACTCCAACAGCATGTTAAAAAAACCCAAACCAAACAAAAATTGAGTCTTCCTGACTTCTGATCCTCCAGTCAGACACCGAATCCATCCATTCATATGCTGTAATAAATCAAATCCAGTTCTGTCCAGGTATAAGATGGGTGCTATATTTGCACATTGCCCACAGTTGTGTTACGCTCACAAGTTGCGTTATGTTCAATCTGTGAACACTAAAATGTCCATAGATTAATCAAACATACCAGAACTACTGATGAAACCATGCATCTATAGTTTTAATACAAATTCTAATTACCGTACACATAAAATCTAATTTTCAAACTTGAAATCCAGATTAAAATTTTCTTAAAATCTCTCATCAGAATTGTCAGGCTCTGTTTGAAAGCATTATGGGTTTTCTCATGCCCACAGTGCACTACTACCAACAGTAGGTGTAATGCACATAAAGAACTACCTACGTTCAATTTACTTATAAGCACACTTCTAGAGATAGGAGCTTTATTTATACTAAGGGCCCTTCTCTTTCCTTACACTGTTTTTATATATTCTTGCCTCTGCACACAAGGTTTTACAGTTGCAAAGTTTGCAGACACAAAGATGCAATTAGAATCCAGCTTATCTTTTAAAAACAAAATACCTAAAACTTTTGGCAGCCTGTTAAGTTACACAGTTTTGCCTCTGTGAACAGGAGCAATAATGAACGTAAAGCACAGCTCCATGAAGCAGTTACAACACAGCCGATTCCATCCAAGCACTCAAGTGATCTAATACAATACGTGTTGCCAGAAAGGTGTTTAAGCTTCTTAAAAATACTTACCAAGGCACTATCAGTTTATTCTGATTCTGTTTTGTTGCTAGCCTGGTATTATTAAGATTTGCTATATCGATAAGGTAGTGTCATTTTAGCCAGCTTCTGAGCTCTTTACATATATCAAGTTCTGTGTTTAGAAGCTGCCTGGAAGTGGTCAGAGCAGCTGTACATTTGTAGAGCACTGGCCCAGGCTGCCCAGAGAGGTTGTGGAGTCTCCTTCTCTGCAGACATTCAAAACCCACCTGGACGCCTTCCTGTGTAACCTCATCTGGGTGTTCCTGCTCCGGCAGGGGGATTGGACTGGATGAGCTTTGGAGGTCCCTTCCAATCCCTAACGGTCTGGGATTCTGGGATTCTGTGATCTACCTGTGGTTCACATGTAGACGAATAGTGTCAAATTGCCAAACACAAGTGATTTAAATAATAATTTCAAACCGAACCAGTTTTCAAAAATTACATGGCAGAATCTTAAGCATACTAGACCTGCACTCAAGGCTTGTCCTAATTTTAGTGGTTTTCCTATTTCCCCCATTTTAAAAAGTTCTTTCTTCCTTCCATATGACAGATCTATCTAACCTGGAGAAAATGCTAAGATGCTGATAAATTCACCAGCTCCAAAGAAAGAGGTTATTTCCTGTAATTCTAGTTGGAGTAGTATCATGCAATTTTAATTTTAGCAGACAAAAGATTTTAAGAGCTAAATATATAAAGATTATCTTATGGATAATATTATAGAGAATATCTGCAATTATATATGTATTTATTGGATTAATTAGATTAATTGTACCTTAATTACATGCAAATAATCATTAGTCCTTGGGCATTATGCCTTGAATTATAGCCTCCTTTTTATTTCAAGAAAATTACTGTATGAATTGTCATCATGGAAACAGTTGTTGCCACCAGAGCTCTCCGTGGGAAATCCCACAGCCCATTTTAGCCTTCCTGAAACATCTTTACTTATTCTATGCTAATGAAATTATAAGGCTAGAAAAATGTACTAAATCACACATGTTTGGAGTAAGATTGGCTTTTTTTTTAATTTGTTTTGTGGTTTTTTTTTTAATTGACCACTTCAAGGACAGACAAGAACAGATGAACCACGTGGTTATGAATTTTGGTAATCTTAAAAGTACTTTGGATTCCAGAAAACATGAACATGACCAACAATAAGTAACTTTTTTATAGTTTTCATCCCTATATTATCAGTGTATGTGGACACTATTAGCAAGGCAAATTTTATGTCCTGACCTTCACTATGACTTTTCTGCTGCTTCTGACCGAGAAACCTGCAGAAGGAGAACAGCCGAAGGTTCTGTCACTAAAAATGGATGTGTTCTCTGCAGGCAACACACTATTTGAAAAATAAAAATAAGAGGTTCACACTGACTGCTTGTCCTCAACTGTTAATTCCTTCATTTACAACTGGGAAGTTTCCATTGAAAGCACAGCTAACCTAACATGCTGTAATTTTTAATTATTCTTTACACCACAGGCAGATAAAAAACACGCCTGAAGAATTTCTCTCCTTCAGATGAAAGGCCCTACTAAGCCTTGGAGGCAGCATTTATATTTCTACTTATTAAGCAATTGCCTCTGCCTCTTGGATAAAAGCAATGAATAAAACTTTTAACTTGTTTGCATTAGAGAGTGTGTAGATGAAAACTGTTCAAGTAACATTATTATCAATATAAAATCCAGTTGCTTAAAAGATGGAGTAATCTGTGAGCTCGTGTGTCTTCCAGACATCCTCTTTTTTCTTCTAAAAGAATGCTTCCTGTTATTCCCTATCCTATGTGGTTTTGTAAGAAAAATCAAGATACTCCAGAAAAACTTACTCATGAAGAAAACAATGACACTGTAGCAGTGATCATATGTTGATTGCCTTTCAAGAACATAACAACTGAAAACAGTAAGAATTCTGCATCTCAGCTTGCCTTTGAATCTGGTCATAAGCATTACCAAACATATACTTTCACTGATGAGGAGTGAAAGCTGTGACATCACAGAAACTTAATTTTCAGGCTAAAATTTATTGAAAAATTAAGTTATTAACAGACACCCTGTCACGAATAAGATGGTATAGCTTCTTCACATTTTCCATACTTAATCAAATCTATTGTATATGAAAGATTTCCAGT